TCGAGCACCTGCATACTCAAGGGGGGGGGGGGGGGGGGGGGGGGTCAGTCACTTAAGCAGCACCCAGAAGAGATAAGAACTGTATGTAGCACAGGCTACTACAGTGCATTTCTGCAACCCCATTGGCCCTCCAGATATGAACAATTAGATGTAACCAGACTGGGCCAATGTAAAAAAAAAAATAAAAGATAATGAAAATGAACAGAAAAATCAGCACAAGGGACATAACGTACAGTCAAGTAGGATGTGTCCCTTATGCTGTTAGTTGAAATCACCTTTTGTCCATGCTCCACCCCCACCATCTCTCAGTGTGGTGGGGGGTTAACAGAACTAAGGGACTATCACAGGCTCTCATCAAGAGTGGCTGACTATGCCCTCCCCTTCCACCTACCAGATATATTCATAGAAGCCATACTCTGCTCCCTTTATTGATAGATCATCTTTCATTCATAGAAGCTAGACTTTTCAATCATCTCCCCGTCCTCCATTCATAGAAGCTCTTGGGGAGAACAGATGACAGCTCCTTAGTTGTACCAGATTACTGTGGCAGGGTTTTGGCATGGACAGGAGAATTTCACCTTAATGGAGAGACATCAGCACGAGGGCCACAGTCTACAGACTACGTTATGTCTCTTGTGCCGATTTTGTTTTCTGTTTTTTTTTGCTGCACATAGGTTATGTTTTTTTTTTCAGTGTCTCTTGCACCTCCCCTTCCAGCAAACACTGAACAGCTCAAGGTACCCTGCTACCCCCTCTACAAGCAGTGACCCCGCAGCTCATCCCTTCTTTCACTGATACAGCAACTCCGCTCTCCTTTCCCAGCATTGACTTGGTAGCCTGCCATCCTTCTAATAGCCAGGGGCAGATCAGATTGCAAAGACTAGCTTTGAATGACTTTAGTGACCTTTGAGGATGAATTGCTTCACAGTGCCTGAAGCTACAGTAATGGCGGACTTTAAAGCATATTCACAGGTTATTAACCACTTCAAGTCCGGATACTTTCACCTCCTTCCTGCCCAGGCCAATTTTTAGCTTTCAGAGCTATCACACATTAAATGACAATTGCGCGGTCATGCAACACTGTACCCATATGAATTTTTTAGCATTTTTTGAGACAGATAAAATTTTATTTTGGTGGTATTTAATCACCACTTGGATTTTCATTTTTTTGGTATATAAATGAAAAAAATCTAAACATTTTGAAAAAAATTGTTTTTCATATAAAATTTAGCAAATAATCTTTCTTCATAAATCTTGGCCAAAATGTATTCAGCTATCTTTTTAGTAAAAAAAATAACCCAAATTAGTTTATAACCAACAATTATAATTTCTCAAAAAAATTTTTTACATTATTTTATTTTTAATATTTTTTTTTAACATACTGTCACCCTAGCAGTACAGTGTCACCATGGTGACACTGTACTACTTGTGGGAGGTGATTAAGATTTTTTTTTCTTTTTATACAAAGATTACTTTTACACCCATAAAGGCTGTAAAAGCAATAAATTCCCCTTCTCTCTGGCTGTATCCCTGCAGTCATTGAGAAATACTGTGAGAACTGTGATTGGTCACAGCTTGTCACATGGTAAAAGGCTGTTGTGAATAGCCTTGTACCATGTGACCTCTGTGATCATTCACAGATTTCACACGTAGTAACTAATGATGTCAGGAAGTGACATCTTGTTTACTACTGTTCGGGACCTCTGTGTGAGGTCCTGATTCATGTGATCACTGATTGGCCAATCAGTGATCACATGAATCAGGACCTCACACAGAGGTCCCGTACAGCAATCTGTGTTCTGCTGTGGGCCCCGATTGCGGCGCCATGCGCTCCCAGGTAGCACGCACAGGCAATGAATGTGGGGGGGGGGGGGGATGTTTAGAAACGTCAGAAGTGCTCCAGTCCAGCCGTTAATCAACATGGGCCGGACGGGAAGAGGTTAAGGAATTTAAATATTTGAATGCTCATATCCTAGCCATAGTTATACATTTATAAATCCTTATAGGAAATGTAGTAATAAAATGTGGAAATGCAAACAAAACCCCGAAATGCATACTCCCCGAGAACAGAGTTTTCCTTAAATGCATTTTTCTTCCCAAGCAGGAACATAACGGACATGTTCCCGCCCACAAAACACACGTTGACTTTTTTTAAGGTTTTATTTTTAATACAGTAAGAAATATTGCACATGATCAACATGTCTGTTCTGTAGCAGTCCTTTCTTTGAACAAACGAAAATATAAGCGCAAGATGTCTCCACGATCTGACGTGTGGGGTACGCTGGTGGCAGGGGGGGTAGGCATTGTATGCTGGCACCCCCTCGGTTTGTTTGTTTTACTGTTCAGTCTTCCTGGCAGATACAGGGTGCTGTGCCACTGCTAAGCAGTTCATCTTTAAAAACAAGCAAGCCACCGGCGTAAAAGGAAATAGCGAGCATCAGCCTCCATCCTGTGATCATCCTCGTCTGTATTGCCTTTGGTTTGCACATTGTGATGGAATACCTCCCACTGCCACCAAATGGGCCCATGCCCCTGTTACAGGGACAAAACGGCTGGCGCCCTCGAGGCCCGAACAAAGTCTGTGTGCTGCAGCACCGTAAGAGTAGGAAAGCTTAATAGCACTATATAATGCAGCATGTTTGTATAGAGGGGCGGATGGGTCACCCACGTGAATACAGCATCGAAACTCAAAGCAACGTGATTAACAGGCAAGTCCCCTCCCTAGTGCAGGGTAAGTCACATGATAGGAAGGGGCCAATCCCACATGCCCTGGATCCTGAGCACAAGCACCCTGTGCATATATAGCTGTACGTCTCTATTTTTTTTTAAATTTTTTTTTTTTCACAGTCATTGCCATTCCCGACATATCAAAGTGCACCTCATTATTGATTTATGGGCCAATGGGTCTTAACACTTCTATATAGCTGTGATCATACGGTTCTATATAGCAGTTTGTACGTATGGTGTGCCCACCCATGGCTATAATGAGAGCACAGATAGATCCCTCAGTGACTGTAACAGGAACTGTGCAAAAAAGAAGAGCAAACACCTTCTCAGCCTACATGTGCATCTATGTATACTGACAGTGTATACACCATTATATACAGCAGAGTCCATTCTGTATACTGACAAGAACTCTACAACCAGCAGGGCTTTGCCTCTGCATACAGTTCTTCTAAGGACTGCACACAGCGCCTTCTCTGTAAGGGAACAATCTGTCTTCGCGTTACCCAGAACAGCCAGCAAATCCTTCTTAAACAGACCCTGTCACCAATTTGCAGCAAAAATCGTTTATTTTTAAAGCTTATTTGCAGTTTTTTTTGTTTTTTACTTATTTTATTTGTTTTATACTTTATTAGATTTACATTAATTATTTTTGGCTTAATATAAACTTGCTAGGTAATTGGCACAACCCCTTCCTTGCATGCCACAGGCTTCTTCTCTTCTGGGGGGGGTATCTAATTACTGTCTGTTCTGGCCCAGCTCCTTCACCCCTCCCCCAGATACCCTTTTATGTAGTAACTGAAGGAGGAACAAAGCGGAATCACTTCCAAGATGGCAAAACCCAGCAGTGGTCTCAGATATCTACACTTTTACAGTTCAATACCATGCAAACAAAACCATGTAAACAACATAGAATCCTATGAGAAGTTTGTTATTGAAATAAATTGGCGACAGGGTCTCTTTAAGGTCTCCCATGCTGCAATGAAAAACCAGCCGAGGCAATTCTACCCTCATCGTCACGAACAAGATCCCCTCTCCTGTAAAGAACACACTTCAATGCACTTTTGCAGAGAGGAGCACACAAAAAAGGCATCTTATGAAAGATTTAAGTGAGAAGTCACCGATGGAAGATTCTAAATTTGGTCAGCATGCTAAGTTTGGGGCCCGATCAGCTGCAGTACCCAGAACAAGCATGTGGCACGGAAGCCGAAAAACGGCAGGCTTCCCACACAGGTAGGTTGCTTCATGACAGGTTGTCTTCATCGTTCAATATCAACCAATGGGAAAGAAGCAATTGTTCTGCGTTAGAAACGTATGCAGTCTGTACTCGACAAACAAGCCCTGCCCACTCATCAGCACCACACATACAGGTAAGAGCACACACTTGTATCATACAGACATACACACAGTGTATATATATGTATACATACATGCCTGTGCCAAATGTGATGTGCTGCCGAATCAACATTCTTATAGAAGGAATTTCAACATTGACCATCTGGCTTAAAAAAAAAAAGTCTACATATATATATAGAATTATATATATTTATACAGCTCCCCATAGTGCAGCTGCTTCTGGTTGAACTAAAGTGTCATAAGAAAATATGTTTTTTTTGTTTTTTTTTCTTTTAATTCCCCCCCACTAAAAATCACCCTGTCCGCCCATCACCGGCACTTGCGTCCTTGGGTGTAGGACAGTGAGACACGCGCTTTTCAATGAAACACACCGTTTTCTGATTAACAATCCACCACAACTGCTTTGTCACAATCCTGCTGCTGGGGTCTATACAATCCACAGTCACGGCATTCCCTGCTTCATCACTATGCTTTGTCCACCACCATGCCAAAGACATGTCATTTTTTTTTTTTTTTTTTTAGCATTCTATACTATGTAGGAACACCCGGTAGAAGGCCAGGCTGCCAGACCCCTAGCAGGCCCTCCATGTTTAAAAAAAACAAAAACAAAAAACAAAACATTGATTAGCCATTTCTACTTGCAGCCAGACCCAGAACTACAGTGTTTAATCCAGTGTGGATTATTATCACACTGCCGACATCTGGGAGTCTCTGCCCGCAGGAGGGTGGCGCTGCCCATCCAGAGTGCACATCTGCCAAGGAATGGGTGGATTGTCTGTGCAAGTGGGGCAAAGTCTGGTTGCGGGAAGGGGAGCAGGTTATCCATTGTCGGCCCCGGGTATTCCTTGCTTGAGGTTGTCCCTCAACCCTTAGGAGTTCACTGGGTGCCCATGCAGAAAGGGGTCCCCACCCTTAACCACTCATCTAGTGTTGGAGGAGTCAGGAGGTTCCTGGCCTGCCTCCCAAGTGGCATCAGGGGGCTCGTTGGGCCGCAGCGTGGGATCCTGGGGGGGCTGCATTTCAGAAGGTGCTGAGGTTTCGGAGGTGCTGGGGGAAGAGTGCTCTTGAAAAGGGTGAAGTTCTGTTGGTGTGGCGGTCTGCATGATCTTCTGTCTCACCTCGCGGATCTTCAGCTGGAGACACACCTTTGTGGGAAAGATGTCCGAGTAGCGGGACTGGAAGGCGGCCGTGGCCTGGGCTAAGAATAAGCCAACACAAAAGAAGAGTTAGCCTGTACAGTGTACATCACATACGTAACAAAGCCCTTTCAATGGTCTCATACAGAAAATCTGGAGTGGGCTTTGAAGCTAGCCGTACAAATTTAGATTTCCCTCGTTCAACACAAGAGAAAAATCAATAAATTCCTCCATCCACACTAAATGGTGTGGATGGAGGAATCTGCATCAGCAGCTATCGTATTCAAACAGCTGCAGCAACGTTAGCGGTCTAAATTCCCAAACAGTGACTGCATCTGATCAAATGCAGTCATTGTTTGGTCCATCATTTTTCGAGCTGGGTATGGCTACTTTATTATTCCTTGCCTATTCCTCCAACAGATTACTCTAATGCCAAGGACAACCAATGTACAGGAACGGGACACAATGCCACTCAACGCATGGCACTGCATTTACAATGTTTTGGTAGAAGTATTGACCTCTACATGGACTTACAAAAGGTGTTACAGCCTGGAACCTAAACAGCTTTAGCTGGGATTTTAGATCACTAATCTTGTAAAATATGGGTGGATAACATATAATTAAGGTACCTATAAACCAGGAGTACGGAATTTATATTTGCAGAGGTCCGATAAGTAAAATTTTTTTCCAGCAGGAGGCAGAATAGTAATGAAGTGTGAGAAGCACAGCTCAGCATTGGATGGAGGGCGGCAGCTGCAAGAGTTAAAGCATAACTACACTGCATCTGAGCACTACCAACCAAAAATGCTATTTAATTCATTTTTAATATTCAAAGCAAACTGCGTCATTTATCCATGTCTCCATGCTTTGAAAACATTGAAAGACACCCCACAGTAATTCTGGCTGTGGCCATCTTGAGTAAGGGAGGGCAAATGATTCAATCCATCTGCCCTTAGTTCAGACATAAAAGCAGGAGGGCATGCTCAGCTGAGAAAACCCCTCTTCCCCTCCCCTCCAGAAGACTCCTGGGATGTATGATGTAACTTGCCTAGGAAAGAAACCAGGAAGTAACTGAAGAAATGTAATAAAAATTACCGTATTTTTCACTGTATAAGACGCACTTTTTCTTCCCCAAAACGGGGGGGGGGGGGGGGGGGGGGGGGAAATGTCAGTGCGTCTTATGGGGCGAATATGGAGCGGCCGGTCCGGTATTTCCACCGTGGCCGTGTCAGAATACCGGGCCGGCCGCTCAGCTCTGCAGCGGGACCTTACCTGTTCCTCTATCCAGCGGCGCGCTGTCTCCCCGGCTTCTATAGTGTGGGCACTGGGCATGACAGCCGGGTGCCAAGTGCGCATGCGCAAGAAGCGGTGCTTTTTGTGAATGGTAAGGTGGTACCTGGGACACATAACAGATCCCAGAAGCCGCCGGACCAATCACAAAGCGCAAGTGCTTCTCGCTCAGGCGCACTGGGCACCTGGCTGTCATGCCGAGCGCCATTACAGAAGCCGGGAAGACAGCGCGCGGCTGGATCGAGGAACAGGTAAGATCAAACAAAAACTCTGCAGAAGTAAGAGCGGGTACCTGTCAAATTCAGGTACCCGCTCCCCACCTCCCCAAAGGTCAGCAGTCATCTGTACTGTCCGCAGTCTCTGGTCATCCCTGTGCTGTCCGCAGTCTCTGGTCATCCCTGTGCTGTCCGCAGTCTCTGGTCATCCCTGTGCTGTCCGCAGTCTCTGGTCATCTCCTGTACTGTCCGCAGTCTCTGGTCATCTCCTGTACTGTGTCTGCAGTCCATTAGTTCAGAATTTTTTTTCCCCCTGTTTTCTGCCTCTAAAACCTAGGTGCGTCTTATGGTCAGGTGCGTCTTATACGGCGAAAAATACGGTAGTTTAAAACAAGTAAATATATTCTTTCCAATCAATTTACTAATGCTAGCTGCATAAGGATTATAATGGTCAATGTTGATTGAGAGAGCGAAGTTCCACTTTAACAAGCAAGTGATTGGTTGATAGTACACAGGGCAGGGCCTAACAACCAATCACTTGCTGGTTAATATGAAAAGTTAACCACCGGCAGCTCCCACCCTATCCAGTGCTGAGCTGTGCCTCCCACACTCCGTTCATTACTATTCTGCCTCCTGCTCTCCACGTTGGCTTGAGAATGACAGCGGCAGAGGCTAGGGGATAGAAGCAGCTACTAAATGGAGTGGCTCCGGATCCAGATGGGACAGTGGCTTGATCTGGACCACAGTCCACCATTGAGTGCTGCCTGATCTAAACCCAAGATTCAAAAATGTAATAAACTGTATAGCTTACTAATCCTGGTGGTGGTTGCCTATTCTTACTTTTAAAATGCAAAAACATTTACTACAAGTAAAGAAATCCCCAAATTTACAGCTGTCACAAGAACAGGATGGAAGGGAAAAAAGTTTCAGTGACTTGCAGTAAAGCATTCCTCACTTCATGATTTGTTTGTGGAATGGGGAAGGATAATAGGACACAGCCGAAACAAAAAAAAAAAAAAAACCAAAAACACCAAAACTGACAAGCAGGTTGTTAATCCTTTCTAATCTATACAAAACAAGTCAAATAAAACCACGGCGACTGCCTTCCTGATCTCGCACACTCACAAGATGGGAAGAAGCCATGCTCCTGGAAAAGCTGCATGACCAGAGCCCGCCGCTGATCCAAAGTCCGACGTAAGGACGAGTATGGGACCTTGTCGTACTCCAGCTCTGCCAACATGTCTTCTGCCTCGCTGCCTGTAGGAGGAAACAAGTTTTAATAATGCAGAATGGGGCAGAACAGCAGCTCAGACAGTGGACAGATGGAGGAAGAAAAGGGAGGTGCAGACGTGGATCATACCTGTCCGATCGAACGTGAAGATGTCTCCTTCACACTTGGCGCTCTTTGGGGTGTTGGGCTCGGAGCTGCAGCTAGAACGCCTCCTCATTTTCCTCTTCGGAGATATGGGATCCTCTGTAGAAGAGTCTAAGTCTGGCAGGTAAGGAAAAAAAAATCTGACTTCATGGAATTTCATTTCAATCAATGTTAAACATATCACAATGATAAAATAAATCTAAAAGTATATATTTCTCAGCCACATATTTCTTCATGCGGGCTCCCTGCTGCTTACTTGTGGGCTGCCAATGGTTGTGGGTCTATATATGTATCTTACTAAAAGTTTAACAGACATAGAGGTTGATTTACTAAAACTGAAAAGTGCAAAATCTGGCACAGCCGTGCAGAGTATCAGTTTCTAACTGCAGCTTGTTCAGTTAAGCTTTGCCAAAAAAAAAAGCCCGGAAGCTGATTGGTTTCTATGCACAGCTGCACTAGATTTTGTACTCTCCACTTTTAGTAAATCAACCCCATAATCTTGCTGGAAAACAGCAGAATCAAGTCAACAGAGAATGTAAGGAAACCTCCAAAAGAGGTGCATAGGCACATACCTGTAGAATTCTTGCGCTTCTTACGGTAGGAGCCCAGGATAGCTCGAGGAGAGGTGGCAAGAGACTGAAGGGTGGGTGAGGGCAGCACCTCTTCTGGCTTGAACTCTGGAAGCTCTGCAAATCGTTCTTCAAAGTCCACCTCAGACAAGACCCTGCTGGTGGGACAACAAGGGATGTCAGTAGCGTAGAACAAGTGTGTTGTCATTTGTAGACATAAGCAAAGTGAGGAAAACATGGCCACACACAGGAGTTACTGGGCAGTGCAGACGAGGAAGGATCAGAGCTTGGACAAGTTGTGTTAGAAGAAAGGCAGCAAAATGCACAAAAACAGCCTCCCTGGGAAGGATATAGAACAGATGAAGGGGCATCACACATACCAAGAACCAGAAAGGACTCACTTGTCAACAGAATCAAATGTCTTCTTCAAGGGTGGAGGCCGCAGTTTGGGTTTTTTCACTGGTCCGTCCTTTCGGTCAGAAGCTTCAGGAAGTGGTCCTCCTGATGACCTCCCAGCCTCTCCTGGAGAGCCACCAATACTGCTGGACGTAGTTGGTGCAACAGGCGAAGAGGATGGTGGAGGCGCAGGTGGAGCGGGTGAGGGATCTGAGCGGTTCTCTTGGACTGTGCCCTTCCAGTCTATTGAATACTATGTAAAAAAACAGCAGAAAGCAAGATTGAATTGTCATTGATGCCAAACCACTAGGATTGGGGATTAGAGTACAGTAACTCAGAGTTGACCCAAAGTCTTTACAGCTAGCGACCCACAAACCAAGAGAGCTCAGTTATACAGAAAGTGTTTTGGGCCATCAAACCTGCCTTCCATGTGCAATGTCTCTTGAATAAACCTACCTTACTGCTTTCAGTCCACCTTAGAATGTTCACCAAGCTGAAGATGCACAGCTCAGTTTACATTCTGGGGCAGACCATGTATGCTAGGATGACTGATTTCCAGCACATGCGCAGAAGTGATGCCATCCTACGCCAGCCAATGAAAGTGGCCACAGCCTGGCAGAAAAAGTAGAATAAGCTGGCTAGGGACCTCAGGCCCTTGAAGAAGTACTGCAGACTTTAGTCCCACTGTAATACTGCGGAGCTCTTCGACATGCTAGAAAAGATGTAAATATGAGGTATCTACAGGCTTCTCGTGTTGCCAACTATGGTGTAATACCTGTAAAGTCAGTTCAGGTTTTGCTTTAGGTAATACAACTAGTTGCACACATTATGTGTGACCATTGTTGCCACTGTGATGAAAATTTTTATAGAGACTAAGACTGGCCGTAGATGGGTCGAACTAACAGATTCTCCCATCCACACAAGCAAGGTGAATGGAGAAATCCTCTGCTTTGCTATTGTATTCTGACTCTTCCGCTGTCAGAATACACGGATCAGCACTGCAGCTGCTGATCAAATGAAAATTCTGACATTCCTGTTAGACAGAAGCTGATTACTAGATGTTCTTCTGTTGAGTGGGAACGGCCATAGATGGATCTAAATTCAGCCAGTCTCTGCTGAACCAGACAAATTTCGATCCATCTATGGCCAGCTTTAATCTATCCCTGAACAAGCAATGAGCTCTGGCAATTGTACCTTACCTGATCTATACCAATATGGGCCCTAGTGTGTGGGGGTGCCTGAATAACTGTGGTAAAGAAACTAGATTGCAAGTGCCTCGTGGTGTAAGCACTTTTACTAGGGCCAGGTCTTCTACCCCAGGGGTCTGCTGTGTTGCGAGTTGTGAATGTTTGGAGAAAAGCGAGCAGATCTTCTACTACATCTTCTACCTGACTGATGGAAAAATCCCTGATGTGCATTTCCCATGCTGACACTTTACTGACAGACTGTTGCAAAACCTAACATTTTCATACATTTGTCAAGTCTGAACGTAGCCAAGGTACGAGTGGGCGCGTCTGAGTCACTCAGGCGGTGTATAAATAGAATTCATTTGACATTGCTAGTTACCGCAGACTCCTTCTTGATGGTGGGAGAAGGTGGCTCCCGTTTGATGTCAGACAGACCGACAGCTCCACCGTGTAATGGGGACCCGACTGCTTTCTCCTCAGTTGCGGACTTCGCCCACGCGTCTCGTGACGAGCGCTCTTCTGCAACTGTCAGCCTAGGCTTCCCTGGAGCTAAATCCCGAGGCGGAACAGCAGGGAAAGCACTAGATGAAGAGGATGTTTCTGTGGTGGGCTCCCGTCCTATGGATGCCCCTCGAGGTTCTGCAGTGTACCTAGTGCAAAGACATAGCAACAGGGTGACCCTTTGAATCCAAACACACTGTGAACTTCAATGCAACCCCTAACAACATTTTTGCAGTTTCGTACATAGAGGGAAGTGTTAGAAGATCTGTCAGTGAAGGGAAATCTCCCCAACAGGGCAAAGACCGTAATGAAGACACCTCTCTTTTTCTAGAAGTGTTCCAACCCTAGCTTCCTTAACCACTTACTGCCGGCCGTACACATAGATGTGGCCTCTAAGCAGGTAGGCTTTATTGCCATACATGCTGTAACGGAACTGACCCAGACTGTGCTTGAGTACGTCCGTTAGAATACCGCTCCCACGTCCGAAACACCGACAACAGACACCACAGCGACCATACAAGACTAGAAAACACCAGTCTTGAAGTAAACCAGGAGGTAGACTAGTTTACACAAGATATATACACTCAGGGGACAATCCCCCTCCCTGCATAATGACACAGGGTGGGGCAATCTACATTTAGTAACAAGAGACACACAGGTATTCAAACTTCACACCAGCAGACAGTCCCATCAGGAGGGAGGGCTGCTGGAGCTGGAGACACCCCCCCACTAAGCCAATACACACAAAACACATACATCCCATAATAGTTTGCTCCCAAGCAAGACACACAATAGAACAATGGGATGCAACCACATAACATTAAACAATCAACAACCCCCCACCCCACTAGTAGGACAGATCACCCTGTACCCCTAACAGGCACAGGGTGATTTACACATAAGAGGGATATGGGGAGCTGAAACGGGTCTCCCCACCTTTCCAAAGTGAGCTGGGTTCCATGGGCCCCCCACCCAAAGTGATTCCCATCACACATGCGTTCCTAGGTAAATACTTTACTGCGCCAAGAGTGTGCTCCCTGCACAGTAACAAGTGAGTACCTGAAAGCTGCATACTTGAGATGGGGAACTTTCCAATCATGTGACTGCCAGTCACATGATCAGAATGCCCACCTCCCGGTATTTAGATCCTGTTAAAGGGCTGGGAGGTGGCAGCTGGAAGAGGTTAAAAAATAAAACACATATTGACCAGCCATTGCTGAAACTAAAGATCAACACTCACTGCAATACTCTACGTTTCTGGCATTGTTTTCTGTAAACCCCTCCATTCTCTGATCCAGCACACAGTGAACAAAGCCCAGTGTCATTCCACCTACGTCTTGTGAGCCCCGGGTGGCAGTGTCACGATAGAGGCTCTGAGCTTCAGAAACTGCTGAAATATTTTTTCTTTTTTTTACTATAGCTACAGTGGCAGGGATCACCTGCAATACAACTGGTTTCCTGTCATTCTTCATGTAGCTTTGCCTAAAGTCTTAGGCAGGAAATGCCCACCGGAAAAGGAGAGGCAGCAGAAAAGTATCAACAGCACAAAGCTCTCGGAGACATCGAATTATGTGTATTGGTATTTTGGTAGTTACGTATTCTACCATTAACTTATACAGGCTCGCCCTCCTATTGGACGATTTGAAATCGCTACATTTAAAGTGGACTTGAACTCAAAAAAGGAATCTCTTTATCATGAGGAATAACAATAGAGGTTTTTGGTGGCTAATCATTTGTCCCTCGATTATCTGTTGTTGAGTACACCTTCCATACTTCCTCTACTTCCTCAACCACTTGCCCTCCTGAGGATTTACCCCCCTTAATGACCAGGCCTCTTTTTGCTACTCAGCGCTGCACTAATTCAACTGATAATTGCGCAGTCATGCAATGCTGCACCCAAATGAAATTTACGTCCTTTTTTTCACACAAATAGAGCTTTCTTTTGGTGGTATTTGATCACCTGTGCGCTTTTTATTTTTCACGCTATAAACAAAAAAAGACCAAAAATTTTGAAGAAAACAATATTTTTTACTTTCAGCTATAAAAAATATATAGTAAACTCAAAGTTGGTTATAAATTTAGGCCAAAATGTATTCTGCTCCATGTTTTTGGTAAAAAAATCCTAATAAGTGTATATTGATTGCTTTGTGTGAAAGTTATAGCGTCTACAAACTATGGTATAGATACTGCAATTTACGCCATTTTTTTTGCTATACAGCGCTGCGCTAGTTTAACGGACAATTGCGCGGTCATGCAATACGGTACATAAATGTAATTTATGTCCTTTTTTCCCCACAAATTGGGCTTTCTTTTGGTGGTATTTGATCCCTGTGCGTTTTTTATTTTTTGCGCTATAAAAAAAAAAAAGGCTGACAATTTTGAGGAAAAAAAACAATATTTTGGACTTTTTGCTATAAAAACCTGTCCAGTAAAAAAAAATGTAAAAATCAAATTTAGTCATAAATTTCTGTCAAAATATATTCTGCGACATGTCTTTGCTAAAAAAAAAACCCCAATACGTGTAAATTAATTGGTTTACGTGAAAGTTATAGCGTTTACAAATGGCAAAAAAGATACTGGGATTTTTAATTTTTTTTTATACTAATAACGGCGGCGATCAGCGATTATGGCGGCGATCAGCGACTTATGGCAGGACTTATGGCAGGACTGCAGCGGACATTCTGACACTGGGAGGAACTGACATCCCCAGTGACACCAATACAGTGATCAGTACAAAGGAAAAAAAAAAACAAAACACTGACACTGTACTAATGGCACTGGGGAGGAACTTTTTTATTTACTGAAAGGGTTAACTGTGTGAGGGGAGTGTTTTACTAGGGGGCGGGGGTGTGTACTGCATGTGAACATGCTGATCTGGAGAGAAGAGTTTATCAGGAGTTTGTCAGGAGCTGACAGAAAGCACAGCTGCAGTGTAAACACTGCAGCCGTCCTCTCTGTCAGTGATTGCCGCTAATCGCCAGGACACGGTAGGTAATGACCGGCCGTGACCCGGCGACTGACACCCGCGGCCCCGATCGGCGGCGCAGGTAGTGCCGGCGGCACGCCTCGCACGTGCCCCCTACCTGTTTTGCAAAAGCACGTTTTAAAACGTGGTTTTACGCAGCCGTGCCGTGTATTTTTACAGTGACTGGTCGGCAAGTGGTTAAAAGGTAAGTCCACTAAATGGAGGGAGCCATAGCAGTGCAGCTTTCAACTCTATATACAGTGGTACCTCGGTTTACGAACTCCTCGGTTAATGTCATTTTCAGTTTACGAATGAAAATCCATTAAAAATAATGCCTCGGTTTACAAATTTTTTTCGCAATATGAAGCAAGTTTCCCCAGGATGCATTGCGCCTGGGAAGTTTTTAGCTTTCCACTCCTGTGCATGCTGGAGTCTGTGGATAGCACGTGGCGTCGAGTATGGAGGTGTTTTTTAATGCATTCCTATGTTTCACAATTACGAATTTTTTCGCAATACGAAAGGTCCCGGAGAAAGCATTAAATTCGTAAACCGAGGTACCTCTGCACGTACTCTCTAGCCTAGTATAGTCATTTTCTCTGTAAACAGATCTACAGCTGTGTGGGGGAACCCAGAGTGATAAAGTTACAGGCTGGCGGGACCATTAAATCAACCAAAATCACCCAAAAGAAACTTCATGGTGAATTATACTAACCAACATCTTTTAAGACCTTTTGGAGACTTTAAGTGAGCTTTCTGGACTGAGGCCCAGGGGTGTGCAAACTTGTTGAGGTCAAAATAAGGGGTTGCACCATCCCTGCTGGAATTTCTTTAATTTCAATTTGAGTCAAGAAGTATGACTGGAGATCTGTGTTGAAAGTATTTAAAGCAATTTCTAAAAGGTTCAATTTTTTTTTTTGTGAAATAACAAACGTGTCTATAGTTACCTGCTGTGTGCTCCCCCGCAGGCTCTCCTGGCTCCTCCTGTCTCTCGGGTGCCCCCACAGCAAGCAGCTTGCTATGGTGGCACCCATTGCTCCATGTGTCCATTCACACATGGAGCCACAGCTTGGCCCTGCCCCTCTCTCTCCTCATTGGCTGTAATGGCTCCCGCTTGCTGTTTCAGTCAATGAAGAGGCAGAGACCTATGGGACAGCCAAGGCTGTCATTCACATTGCGATCCCGAGGAAGCTCAGGTAAGTACTGAAGGGGCTGGGGTAGCTGCTGCACACAGGTTTTTTACGTTCATGCATAATGCATGAAGGTAAGGCTTCAGCCTTTCCAACCACTTTAAAGACTTGCAAGAAGTTAGGGCCTGAACTGTACTGAACATACGCTGACCTAGCAAAATAACAGATTAGGGGCAGGAATTTGGTCCCATTCCCGTTAGGAAGTATTTGTAATGCTCCTTACTTTGGTTCAGGTGTCTCTTCGCAAGGTGGTAGCGGCGCAGGACGGGAAGTAGTACGCACACACGGCGAGGGCGATGTAGCCTCATATGACCCCACTGGGATACTGGCAATGGCTGCCTTCACTTTCTGAGGCGGCTTAGAGAGGGTCCTCTGAGATTTGGGAGCCACCAAACTGAAAGTAACGGAAGAGGCTGCAAAACAGGAAATTCTGCATGAGTTATATTAAACAATGCAAAAATCCTAACAAAAATAAGCAACTGAATTCACTTAATATAACCAATTACATTCCAACAGTCCCTCGCTAGCACCTGCTGCTGAATGTGGGGTTGCCACCATTTTCATTGGCCAGGACGGGATGACATTAATCCTGCACAGGATCTGGTCATCCCAGCACTCAGAGACCGGCCCGGCGCTGTAAGTAGTTTACAATACTGAAGGAGACAGCGAGCAGGCAGCTGGAGGAGACAGCCGGCAGGCAGCTGGAGGAGACAGCCGGCAGGCAGCTGGAGGAGACAGCCGGCAGGCAGCTGGAGGAGACAGCCGGCAGGCAGCTGGAGGAGACAGCCGGCAGGCAGCTGGAGGAGACAGCCGGCAGGCAGCTGGAGGAGACAGCCGGCAGGCACGTGGAGGAGACAGCCGGCAGGCACGTGGAGGAGACAGCAGGCAGGCAGGTGGAGGAGACAGCCGGCAGGCAGGCAGGTGGAGGAGACAGCCGGCAGGCAGGCAGGTGGAGGAGACAGCCGGCAGGCAGCTGGAGGAGACAGCCGGCAGGCAGGTGGAGGAGACAGCCGGCAGGCAGGTGGAGGAGACAGCCGGCAGGCAGGTGGAGGAGACAGCCGGCAGGCAGGTGGAGGAGACAGCCGGCAGGCAGTGGAGGAGACAGCCGGCAGGCAGGTGGAGGAGACAGCCGGCAGGCAGGTGGAGGAGACAGCCGGCAGGCAGGTGGAGGAGACAGCCGGCAGGCAGGGCAGGAGGTGGAGGAGACAGCCGGCAGGCAGGTGGAGGAGACAGCCGGCAGGCAGGTGGAGGAGACAGCCAGCAGGCAGGTGGAGGAGACAGCCAGCAGGCAGGTGGAGGAGACAGCCAGCAGGCAGGTGGAGGAGGCCAGCAGGCAGGTGGAGGAGACAGCCAGCAGGCAGGTGGAGGAGACAGCAAGCAGGCAGGTGGAGGAGACAGCCAGCAGGCAGGTAGAGGCATTTATTGCGGAATAAATATTGCATATCTCTTCTGCATTAAAAGCCTGCTCACTGTCTGTTCTGCTGTAACATATATACCCCCTTTACTTCTCAAGGAGGACCTGACAACCTCTCTGTGCCTACCAGCCTCACCATCCCATTTTGACAGACAGTACATAGTTACATAGTTAGTCTGGCTGAAAAAAGACAAAAGTCCATCCAGTTTAACCATAGACCAAAAAAAAAAAAAAAAAAAGAAGTACAAAAGAATAAAACAGTGAAAGTGCCTGCAGAACTACAGAAGGTGTTTTTATTCCTGGCTCAGACATCCTCAGTTATGTAATGCTTAAAAAAAAAGAGTGGACCAACATGAGGGTATTTTTTTTTTTTATTTCATCCTCCTGCTAGATGGTGCACACACGCCCATATACACTACTGTGAATGCCTGGGTTCAAAACAGAGAAATAAACCTCATTGAATTCAAATAATCCTGCCTGTGACTGGACAGTGAAGATTCAGCACATTGATGAGCTCATCTCTCTGCTCTCTCCTGTTAGCATGCTCCTCATTGGCATATGAGCACTGCAGCACAGTTGATTGGCTCCTTATGCAGCCTCTCCCTCTCCGTCGGAGCTCTATGGTATGGGGGATTGAAAGAGACTTGTAACAATTCAAACACAGGTGCTGAAAGCAAAACTTCACCCAAAAGGGGGCGTTCCGCTTGTTTGTATCCTCCTCCCTCCTCTGTGACATTTGGCACCCCCCGCAGCTTTCTGGGACACATCTCACTGCGGGACCATTCACAAAGCACAGCACAGCTTGCACATGTGCAGTAGGAAACTGCCTGCGAAGCCAGAAGGGTTCACTGCCAGTTTCCCTTGCCTAAGATGGAGGCGCCTGTAGGATATTGCTGGATCCCTGGACAGGCAAGTGTCATTACATGAAAAGTCAGCAGCTACAGTATTTGGGGAAGGGGGGGGGGGGGGGGGGTGCAGCTCCTCTTTAATGCGCTTGCAGTTTACAAATACATTCAATGTTGTATTAACCCCCTACTGCCCACCCTGACGTCACTTTAAAAAGTTCTGAATGCCAGTCGGGAGGGAAGGATTGACAATCATGTGACCACTGTGATTGGGGGGTCACATGGCCAGTCCCAACGGGTCACATGGCCAGTCCCACCAACTTCTGATTATTAATAGAGACCTAGAGCAGTCATTGACAGCTTGGTTTCTGTGCCGGAAGCACCCCAGTGGGTGGCAACATGTTAAAAGTAGAAAAAAAGGCTCTGTGGTGAAATGTTGCTCCCCTTTGTTTTAATCCTCCCTGTATACATTTTCTCATAAATCGCTTCCTAAATCCTAAATTTTTTTTTCTACGTGGTCACAAGGCTGCAAAGCTCCGTAGTTTAGTGGGTCCCCTGCAGCAGTGACAACATCTTCCCAATGTCTACAGCTCCCAGGATTGTCAAGGCATCATCAGTCAGGAGAAGAGTTACCGCCAAGAGACAGAAAAACTAACCAGATCGCTTTACTGGAAAATGTTTAGGAAGCGATTTACTGGAAAATGTGCACAAGAAGAATCACAGCAAAAGGGGGGAGAACATTTAACTGGTTAACTATTGTGATGCCTTCAGTGCTACAATAATGAATAAAGAGCTGCATTAATCTGCATATTTTATATTTAACCCCTTTGCGTCAGCGCATCCCGGCCCTTTAAGAGGTTTCAGAAGCCGGGAGGCGGGGCAGGGTTTTAGGGTCCTGTGACCGCCGTGATTCGCTGTCACATGATCGGAAAAGGTCCCGATCTTCCCTTGCGATGAGTTTCCCCTTTCCGTGAGTCACGGATTATGTACAGGGAGTGCGCTCTCAGCACATATGTATTTTCAAATGGTACGCAAATATGCTGCCGCTCAGCGTCAAGTCCCAGACGCCAAGAGGCCGCATATTTGTGTGCGCTCAGCGTCTAGGGGTTGGAAAAAAAAGACCCTTCAAAAAACTGCATGTAATTTTAATACATTGTGAACAGCTATGGTGGTATTTATGAAAAGTGCATTGGGGTTTAAAGTTTGATGCAGAACATGCTTTAGGCCGTATTCAGACAGTAGCTGCCACCCTGTGACAGGGTGCATTCAGGCCATGCACTCGCTCCTGCACAGCTGTCAAATTGTGACATGGGCTTCGTGTTTGTGCAGCCACTGGGTCTCCATCTACCTCTATAAGCTGCCTTCAAGCAGCTGGGGTGGATGCAGATGCCAAATCAAACATTTCCAGCACGCAGTGCGGGTGCCAGCGCCCATCTGATGAGGGTCTAAAAAAGGGTATCAACAGATTCAGTATTATTTTTTTAAATGCCTACCAGTGACGGTGGTGACCTGTGATGTACTGCCTACTGTAGATGGAGCAGGTGGGGCGCTGATGATTGTCGGAGGGGGTGCTTATGGCTTTGGTCAAGATGGTGGTTGGTGCAGCGGGGCACGGTACCTGTACTGGCCACAGTGCACACTAAATTCTGAGCTGGAGCAGCAGCCGCCATAGTCAGCGTACTAGACCCGACGGTTGGGTATATCGCAGTTAAGACTTGGTTGCCACAGGTGGCTGGTACAGGAGGTGTGGAGGCCGGAGACACGGTGACCTGCCCGGGGGCAAGGATGTGGCTCTGCCCTGTAATACAAAGACCAGAAATATCACAAAACAGAAATTAAGTAACGGTTATTAAACAGGTCATTCAGCTGTTTATAATCGGATTTCTCTAAATATGTTTTCAAGACCATTAGTTAAAGTGAAGCTTTCTGGATGTTTCAGACTTTAATTAGCCATTAAAATGACCAATCTAAAAGAAACCGTACTTGTGGGGGGAAGAGACACACAGCCCCATTTGTAGTTCTTGTTACTGATGGTCATGTGTGTGTATTGTGTACAAAGACTTACTGCAGTTCTTAGACAGTATCTCTTACCTGCTAGTAGTGGTTGGACTATGGCCTGACCATTTGGACTTATGGTGGTGAAGCCAAGTGCCATGGACCCAGTCCCTAGTGAAGGCTGGACACATGGGGCAGTGCCTGCTGTCATAGACTGGGAGTGTGAGCTTGTGGTCACCAGAGGAAGGGTGCTGCCTGCTGCTGAGGGCACATATGTGATCCTGTCCGGGAAAAAAAAAAAAAAAACCAAAACAGATTATTGAGCCATTTATACGGCCATAAACCATCAATGTTCTGTATAATGAAGTCTGTCTATGGCATTAACACACACGTTTACATGTTTACGAGGAGTCTCTGTAGCAGTTTTATCATCTGTTGATCCTGCCAGTAGATCTGTGATTTGTGCACTCTGTTTATGAGGCCAAGTTGTCCAGTGGCAGTTAGGTCAAGCCACATTGGCAACAAAAAGAACCTTCAAAGTGATTCAGTAGCACAATGAAATATGTATGTGCATATAAATATATTAGTGATCAAAATAGTGTGAAAAAAACTAAAAGTCCATAAAAAAGTTTTCCACCAAATGAATCTTCCAATTCCCAAAAGATCACAACGTGCAATAAAGATGGCGTTCCCCCTGTCGGGTGCGCACTCACCAGATAGCCATGCCTCCCATTCTCATGGCTGGCTAAAATCGCTTATAAAGCGGATCCAAATGGCAAGGAGATCAGTCAAAATGGATATTATCACTCTCCTCTCTGCTCATCCAACAATTGCCATGATCAGTTGACACCACTTCATAGGTTAACGAGTTCCTAATGAGGAACTAATCTATCTATCTATCTATCTATCTATCCATCCAGTCGTATCCGACCCTTGGCAATTACATGGACCGTCACTCGTAAGCAGGGGTGGACTGACCACTTGGAAACTCGGGCACTGCCCGAGGGCCCAGGGTCAGTAGGGGGCCCCCATGAGATGCCCCTGGTACCTTTTTCATAGGCTTTTTTGAGTTTGGGCAAGGACACAGGGGCCCCATGATCCCCTATTGCCCGGGGGGGCCCCATGAGTTGTCAGTCCGCCCCTGCTCGTAAGCAACTTTTTCCATGAATTCTCTTAGCAATTATTTTACAGGGTAGGTTGCCAGGTCTTTCCCCAACCCCTACCATGCAGGAAAACCTGCGTGGCCAGGGATGAAGCTAGGACAATTTAGACAGGAGCCAATTAACCTACCGAAATGTCTTCGGAGTGTGGGAGGAAACCAGAGTACCTGGTGGAAACCCACACGAACACAGGGAGAACATGCAAACTCCATGCAGCAGACGCCATGGTTGGGAATTGAACCCATGACCCAATTACTGCAAGGCAGAAGTGCTAACCACTAAATCACTGTGCCGCCCGAGGAACTAATAGCAACATGGATAACACTCTCCTCCTCCTCAATCTCTCTCATTCAGGATTAGTAGTCATGTGGAAACAAAAAAAATGAAACCCAATGGTGCAGGACAAAATGACATTGTGCTACTAGATCACTTTGAAGGTTCTTTTTGTTGATCATATTTATCTGTAAAGAAGTGGCAGCGTTTATTATTATTATTTTTTATTTAGATTCCATGACGCATGTAGTGCAAAGGTTTTTGCTTTTTATCAGCCACAAGGACAGTTGTGTTTACAACGATCAGCTATATTTATATGGGTGACAGTGAGAGGCTCTGCCATTAGGAAAACATAGAAGAAAACTCCACAGGGTTCTCTGTTTGAAGGGCTCCAGAATGTCAGTTGTGAGTGGAGAAGGGTAGTTCTTCATCACTCCTAAGGTTTTGTAATTTCCGGAATCAGAGTTTGGAGCTCAGAGACTGAAGTGCTTTGGGAGGGGAGGAGTCTCCAATCCAGTGTCCAAGTCTTCCCAAAAACCAGCAGGCCGAGTGTGTAGTGTCCTCAGTCTTTAGAATCTAGGACCTGACAAAAGTTCAGGCTCTGCCTGAGAGACAGAAGGTCTCCGCATAGGAGTCAGGAGGGCCCCAATCCTTCCCAAGGAGTCAGAGAGGCCAGAGCAGCAAGGAGCTGGAAGAGAGCCCAGGTACAGATGTTGTAGGGGAGCACCGAGGTGCTGTGTTAGATGGTCAGGAGGACAAAAGGCAAAAGCCCTGAGCAGCAGCACTGCCAGGGGGCTGAACCTCATTTATGTTTGTGTTGATGGTGGAAAACCCTGCGTGGGTAAATGATTTTCTGTATGAACTTCTTCCAGTTTGTTAATAAAAGTCGGCCAGCATGCCTTTAACCAGCATTTCTGGAGTGGACTGGACTGAACTCACTGACAAAAACCCCCATATCATCACAAATTAAACCATTTTTTAAATTTTTTTTATTTTTACAAAAAGGAAAAACAAAACAGTTGTAGTTGCTTACAAAGTGTTAGCTGGAGTTAGGCTCTGATTTATTGGTGTAAACTCCATGAAAAACTACATATACATCTAAGACCATCTTGTCCACATTGATGATGTGCAATTTTAGAAGAAAAGCAAACAGCATTGTCACTCTTCAAATGGAAGTGGAAAAATAACAGATCTACTGGCAGGATCAATCAGGTAATAAAATGTGATCAAGCTCCGGTAGGCGGGGTGACACGCATCAGAGGGCGTGGCCAGAATGACAGCTGAGGCCATTCCTTAACATTGGACTCCTGGGATTGGTTGAGCAGCATCCATCCCTTCACAGGTAATAAAAACAATTTCACAGCGAAAAGCAGAAAAACAGAAAGTGAAGTGTTAATGCTAGAAATGGTAGAATAATGAGGTTTATTTACTAAAGCTGGAGAGTGCACAATCAGGCTCACTTCTGCATAGAAACCAATCAGCTTCTAACCTCAGCTTGTTCAATGAAGTTTTGGCAATAAAACCTGGAAGCTGATTGGTTTCTCTGCAGAAGTGAGCCTGATTGTGCACTCTCCAGCTTTAGTAAATAAACCGCAGAGTGTTTTTTTTTTTTTTTGCCCATGGTTCCAATAAATAAATGCAATCTGCTTAAAGTGAACCACGATATGCCTGTATTAATGCCCTAGAAAACCTCTTCTGATTTAGTTTCGCTTAGTAATAGATGGCCAGTTGGTGAAAATGTAGCCATGAAGTCAGAGGAAAGTCACCCTTCAGTATCTGTCCAGTGAGAGGATGGTTCGGGTTTCTTCAAATCAACCCACAGGCTAAAATGCTGCAGCCCGGCGGTGTCCATTGTGGAGGTGTCAGAGGATTCATTGTTACACACAGTTACTTTTTTTTTTCCTCTTTTTCTTTTTAACTTTAGGCTGACCGTAGATGGAGCAAATTCCTTTCCTGCTACCACAGGGTGAGAACACAGTGATTATTGGTATAACTGCCACTAGCAAAATATTGAAAGTAAAATCCAGCAGGCTGGTTGTATCCAAGTTGATCAATCGATTAAAGTGGTCCTAAAGGCTCAAGGTCTTTACCTCCAGGCATTCTATGCATGAAGGTAAAAAAAACCTTCTGTGTGCAGCGGCCCCCCCAGCCCCCTCAATACTTACCTGAGCCTCATTGCGATCCAGCAATGTGAAAGACAGCCTCGGCTGTCCCGGGTCTCTGCCTCCTCATTGGCTGAGACAGCAGCAGGTGCCACCATAGCAAGCTGCTTGCTGTGGGGGCACCAGACAGACAGGAGGAGCCAGGAAAGCCTGCGTGGGACCCAAGAAGAGGAAGATCCAGGCTGCTCTGCACAACCACTGCACACAGTTGGTAGGTATAGACATGATTGTTATTTTACTACAAAAAAGAGAAAAAAAATTTAAAAAAATGAACCTTTAGAATCGCTTTAACCGCCACCTGCCCGCCTCAGGGGCGGACTGACCATTCGAGCACTCGGGCACTGCCCAAGGGCCCGGGGTCAGTAGGGGGCCCCATGAGATGCCCCCTGGTACCTTTCATTGGCTTTTTCATAGGCTTTTTTGGGTGTGGCGAGGACACAGGGGCCCCATGATCCCCTATTGCCCGGGGGCCTCATGAGTTGTCAGTCCACCCCTGGCCCACCTTATAAGGCAATGACGGGCACAAGGCAGTTCTCTCGTTCTGGGAGAATGTCATGACACCTGTCAGTGTCCATCAATGCTACCTGCCAGTGCCCATCAGTGCCACAGTGCCTACCAGTGCACATCAATGCCACATATCAGTGCCCATCTGAGCTGCTGTTCAGTGTCACCTATCAGTGCCAGTCAGTGCCACCTATTAGTGCTGCCAATCAGTGCCACCTATCAGTGCCAGTCAGTGCCGCCTATCAGTGCACATCAGTGCCGCCTATCAGTACCATATATGAGTGCTGCCTTTCAGTGCCCATCAGTGATGCCTGTCATTGCCCATCAGTGCCACCTACCAGTGCTTCCTCATCTGCCCATCAGTGCCACCTATCACTGCAGCCTCAGCGCACATCAGTGAAGGAGAAAAATCACTTATTTACAAAATTTTAAAACAAAAACTAAGAAAAAACTTTTTTTTTTTTTAATTTTCAGTTTTTGGTTTGTTTAGCAAAAAATAAAAAAACCCCAGAGATGATTAAATACCACCAAAAGAAAGCTCGCTGTTGGTCTCAAAAAAATTATAAAAATGTCATATGGTTACAGTGTTGCATGACCGCACAATTGTCATTTAAAGTGTGACAGTGCTGAAAGCTGAAAATTGGCCTGGACAGGAAGGGGGTATAAGTGCCCTGTAGGGCAAGGGGTTTAACTTGGATAAATTCAGCCTGTCCATACATGGTTGGAATCTTGTCCGGTTCCTGCTGTACTGGCCAAGATTCGAACCGTCTATGGCCGGCTTTAGTGTGTTATACAGCATAGATATAGAGCACATCTGCAGTTTTATGCACCGCACCTCACCAAAGTGTTGTGGTATGGATCAAGGCACAAAGAAAATTGCTTTCCGGTGATTGCTGAGCATCTCTGACGGGGAGGAGAGCTGTTTGTAAGCAAAACAGTTCTCCTCCCTGTCAGCTCCTGCACACTGCTTTGTATGACTGTGCACAGCATAGCCATGCAAAACAGTGTGCTTACAGTGAAGCACACAGAACATAGTAAAACAGCACACAGTTAACCCTTTGATCGCCCCTCATGGCAACCCCTTCCTGCTCGCTGCCATTAGTACAGTGTCAGTGCTTTTTATTAGAACTGATCACTGTATTGGTGTCACTGGGGATGTCATTGACACCAAGTCAGTTCCCCCCCCCCAGTGTCAGAATGCTCGCTGCAGTCCCGCTATAAGTCGCTGATCGCCGCCATTACTAGTGGAAAAAAAAAAAAAACCCGTATCTATACCGCCATTTGAAAATGCTATAAGGTTCATGTAAACCAATTACTTTACACGTACTGGGATTTTTTTAGTAAAGACAAGTAGGAAGATACATTTTGGCAGAAATTTATGATGAAATTTGATTTTTTAAAATTTTTTTACTGGACACGTTTGCTAGCAAAAAGTCAAAAATAATGTTATTTTCTCAAAATTATCGGTCATTATTTTTTTTTTATAGCACAAAATAAAAAAACCGCACAGGCAATCAAATACCACTGAACGAAATTCAATTCGTGGGGAAAAAAAATACTGAAATTTAATTTGGGTGCAGCTTTGCACGACCACGCAATTGTCAGTTAACGCAGCGCCGTCACGCAAAAAATGGCCTGATCAGGAAAGGGGGGTAAATCCTCTGGAGGGCAAGTGGTTAAAATAACTGATTTTTTTTTGCGCTTTCGCCTGAAATATTTTAGGTTGGTGATAGGATCACTTCAAAAGAGAAGAAAAAAAAAAAAAATCACAACACAATACCACTTATACTCAATGTAGACATGGGATCGATCCAATGCTGCAGCTGTCACCTGTCGGGTATATACACTGTGAACTGAGCAATCAAAGGCCGCTGATTCAGGCTCTCTGCGGCATGCCGAGAGGCAGAGCTAGCTGCCGGTCGAACATCTGGGTGAATCCCGACATAATTTTTTAGCCACTTTCAGACTTTTAATGTTGTGATGTAATTTTAATTGTCGGGATCCCTGCACAGCCTAGACAGGCTCTGTGACGTTGGTGGACTTTAGCCCGCTCTCAGCTGATTCTGGGTAACAGGAGTGAAAAAGTAAGTGCCCCCCTGTGACCCACATAAGTGCAGCCAAGAGGTTTGGCCGTACTTCTGCTTTAACATGTTACAATTTTTATAAAATTTTAGTGATTGTGTTTACAAATCATAAAATTACTTCACAATATTAAAAATCTGAAAGTTGCATAAAAAATTACTGTCAACTACACATGGCAATCGTACCCCCCCCCCCCCCCCCCAGGCAAAAAAAAAAAAAAACAAATCACGACCATCTAGTTCAACCAATAGAAAAAAAAACTACCTAGTTGATGATGGCAGAATGACTTTTTGTGGTTGAGATACTGCTGCTACAACTGCTGCGGTTGCCATGGTGACAGGGATAGCACTCTGGAGTGTTGAACTGCCCGGAGTCACTAAGGCACTCTGCTTCGGAGCTGGCGGTTGCACCACGGGCATTGGAGTGATCTGTATAATCTGAGGACGACAAAGCAAGAAGACAATTGTAAATGAAAAACTATATATACCCCTCATGGCAGTTATATTTGCAGATTCCACTTACAATGGCCGTACAGGTTGCAATTTCTGTATAAAACCTTTTGACTAACCAAATCTGTGTAAAGGGCTTACCTAAACAATTCATTCAATCTGTACCCAACAGGCTGGGCCTTGCACTGTATAGGCGCTGGAGGATCTAGATTGTACAGTAAATTGTAATGTGTATAATCCGCTTACACTGACCCTGTCAATGAGCCCTCTCCAGTAGCATATACTTGTATTCCTATCGCTGTCCACTTCTAGTCCATTCAGCTGGTGGGAGTGAAGGAAGGTCCTGCTGTAAGTTACAAAGTCATAGTAAACTCCCCATGTGACAGTACCGACCAATCCAGTGCCGGTGCTGAATGCAGTGGTAGGGGAATGAAGGAAAAAGTCATGTTGTGGTGGGGTAGAGGATTAAAGAAAACCTATTGCTTTGTTCCAAGCACATGTTTTAAACCGACCTATCAACATAATTTCCTTGTTCAATTATGAGGTCTCCTATTGCCCACCAATAATAAAAGCCATAAAGGATTAGAAAACAAGAGATATGATGCAAGGAACATAATAAAAAAAATGTATCTCTCTCTCTCCCTCTCTATATCTCTATATATATATATATATATATATATATATACACATATATATATACACAGTGGGGATCGAAAGTTTGGGCACCCCAGCTAAAAATTTGTATTAATGTGCATAAAGAAGCCAAGGAAAGATGGAAAAATCTCCAAAAGGCATCAAATTACAGATTAGACATTCTTATAATATGTCAACAAAAATTAGATTTTATTTCCATCATTTACACTTTCAAAATAACAGAAAACAAAAAAATGGCGTCTGCAAAAGTTTGGGCACCCTGCAGAATTTATTGCATGCACTGCCCCCTTTGCCAAGCTGAGACCTGCCAGTGTCATGGATTGTTCTCAATCATCGTCTGGGAAGACCAGGTGATGTCAATCTCAAAGGTTTTAAATGCCCAGACTCATCTGACCTTGCACCAACAATCAGCACCATGGGTTCTTCTAAGCAGTTGTCTAGAAAACTGAAACTGAAAATAGTTGACGCTCACAAAGCTGGAGAAGGCTATAAGAAGATAGCAAAGTGTTTTCAGATGTCAATATCCTCTGTTCGGAATGTAATTAAGAAATGGCAGTCATAAGGAACAGTGGAAGTTAAAGCAAGATCTGGAAGACCAAGAAAAATATCAAACAGAACAGCTCGCAGGATTGTGAAAAAAACAATTCAAAACCCACGTTTGACTGCACGATCCCTCCAGAAAGATCTGGCAGACACTGGAGTTGTGGTACACTATTCCACTATAAAGAGATACTTGTACAAATATGGTCTTCATGGACGAGTCATCAGAAGAAAACCTCTTCTACATCCTCACCACAAAAATCATCGTTTGAACTTTGCAAATTAACATATAGACAAGCCTGATGCATTTTGGAAACAAGTTCTGTGGACCGATGAGGTTAAAATTGAACTTTTTGGCCGGAATGAGCAAAGGTACGTTTGGAGAAGAAGGGGGCACAGAATTTAATGAAAAGAACCTCTGTCCAACTGTAAGCATGGGGTTGGATCAATCATGCTTTGGGGTTGTGTTGCAGCCAGTGGCACAGGGAACATCTCACGAGTAGAAGGAAAAATGGATTGAATAAAATTTCAGCAAATTTTGGATGGTAACTTGATGCCATCTGTGAAAAAGCTGAAGTTTAAAGAGAGGATGGCTTCTACAAATGGATAATGATCCTAAACACACCTCAAAATCCACGGGGGATTACATCAAGAAGCGTAAACTGAAGGTTTTGCCATGGCCTTCACAATCTCCTGACCTCAACATCATTGAAAATCTATGGATAGACCTTAAAAGAGCAGTGCGTGACAGACAGCCCAGAAATCTCAAAGAACTGGAAGACTTTTGTAAGGAGAATTGGCAAAGATACCTCAAACAAGAATTGAAAGACTCTTGGCTGGCTACAAAAAGCGTTTACAAGCTGTGATACTTGCCAAAGGGGGCAGTACAAGATATTAACTCTGCAGGGGGCCCAAACTTTTGCAGACGCCATTTTTTTGTTTTCTGTTATTTTGAAAGTGTAAATGATGGAAATAAAATCTAACTTTCGTTGACATATAAGAATGTCTAATCTGTAATTTGATGCCTTTTGGAGATTTTTCCATCTTTCCTTGGCTTCTTTATGCACATTAATACAAATTTTTAGCTGGGGTGCCCAAACTTTCGATCCCCACTGTAAATATATATCTATCTATCTCTATCTATCTATCTCTCTCTATATATCTATCTCTCTCTATATATCTATATCTATATATCTATCTATATATCTCTATCTATCTCTATATATCTATCTATCTCTATCTATCTATATATCTTTATCTATCTATATATATCTATATATATCCACTCACCTTGTTCGCAGGCTGTGCACCATTCTGGACTGGGAAGGGGGAGGTCACAAGTGGCAGCTGTGTCGTTGTAGGACCTGCTCGCACTGTCACATGAGGTGTGGTAACTGGAACAAGCATCTTGCCCTGAACCGGGGTACTTGGAGACAGGATTCCTGGACCAGAAAGCAGCTGGGTGCAGCTCCCAGGTGAAGGGGCAGGAGACACCGACTGGGCTATTAGGGCACAGGAAAATTATAAAATAGATCAAAGCAAACAGAGAAAGGAGCCTGATAAAGATAATAAAGGATCTGAATAAAAAGGAGGAAACAAACAGAAGATCGATAAAGTGAAGGGAGAATGAGGCGAAAGAAGCAGAAACGAGAGGACAAAGCAAAAGTAGACTTTATTAAACCTTCTTACCTTTGGCAGCTGCTGACACAATGCCCAGAGATGGGCTAGCAGCCGGGCCAGGCTGGACAATTGGGACAGCCTGAGGGGTGGCAATCACTTTAGCACTTGCAGGAGGAAGGGTGAAGTGGATGCCTCCTTGCAGCTGTTGTGGGATGGTGGGCAAGATGTACTGCACTTGGGTGATATTACCCCTCTTGCTTGAAGCAGGAAGCAGCTGCTGTGGCTGAAGAATGCCCAGAGGTACTGCTCCGTTGGGGCTGCCTGTGGGGTTCTGGGTAATGAACTGCAGTGCAGTAACAGAACCTGCCCCATTTCCTGAAGCAGGGGCTGGCTGTCCATAGCTAGGCGCCCCCACCAGAAGGTTGGTTACGAGTCCACCAGCAGGTTTGCCCTGTGGGTGGGGAGAAGCTGGAGATGTCAGCTGTTGAACTGGTTTCCTGTCGTGAGCATACACAACCCCAATGCCCAACGGGGAACCAGGTACACGACCGTCACAAAGTTCACTGCTACTGCTGCTCCTGGCAATGGGTAATGGTTTACTTGCAATAGGAACTGGTGTGCTGCTAACTGGTTTGACTACATTTGTAACTACAGTGGAGGCTTGCTTTAAGCCAGGAGGTAAAACTCCAAGTCCTTGTGGCCCCGAAACAAGTACAGTTCCTACTGCAGGGACAGAAGGCCAACTGTCAGGTGTTCCTCTCTGCCCATCATAGGGTTTGGATGTGGGGGAATATACAGTGCTGGAGAGGTGTGGTGAGGGCACACTGGGCAGGACAATGGTTTGGGGTGCAGTGGATGAGATGACTGATTGAGCAGAGTACTGATTTGAAAGAAGTACACCATCCCCCGCCATCTTCTGTCCTGCACCCTCTGCACTGCGTTTCCTCTTGTAGCTGATGGCAGGGTCCACCATAGTAAAGCGCACTTCTGAAGTTCTCCTAGCTTGATGCTGGGTAGGTGTACGAGGAGGAGGAGGAGGAGGTGGAGGCGGCTTGGCAGGAGGCAGTGGAGGGTACCCACGGGGGAAGGAGGCTTGTGGATGGTCACTAGGCTTGGGTGACTGAGTCACATTCACAGGTCTATCTGATTTGAAGTCTTCAGAGGAAAGTGGAAAACTTCCAGAGTGCGAGGAGGAACGGATGACGAGGGGAAAGACCCCTTGAGGAGCCACCTAGCGACAAAGCAAAAAGAAAAAAAAAATTGTTTTTTTTTTTAAAGAGATAATCAATTATAGTGCAAATATTCCCCTAGCAATGAACTGAAAGCAAGACTGAAAATGAAAGGATCTGACTGAGGACCAGCTTCTTATGAGCCATAAGGAAGGAGGCCTGCACAAAGGTTACTTTTTATTTTGTTTTTAAACAGCAAGTCCGAATAGGAAAAAGTCCAATAAACTGTTAATGCCATCTGGTATATGTTACCTGTCAGGCTCTTGCAGCCCGTCAGTAAACTGTCTGCCCGTACCTTCAATATGGGCAGGCAGTTACTGAACGCAAGGAAGCTCAATGGACTAGGAGAGCGCTCACCAGTGTCATCACAGTTCACTGAGAACGACAAGCCATCAGCCGCCATTGCTGATGGTACTTGTAGACAGTCCCAGAACTCTGAATGAATAATGCTGCTGTGTGGGTGGAGCCCCGCTGTTTTCAAACTGTAACAGTGAGGGCGGGGAGAAGGTTCCCCATCCGCTGTCACAAGGAGATGGATGCTCAACATGTTTCATGTTACACCCCAAAATACGGGTGTAACATGTCGAGAACAGTGAACTTATCCTTTAACCACAGCATATCCCTTTGAAAACATGCGTGCATACGAAACGCGTCAAGGAAGGAGCCTGCGCATTGACATCACACCGCCGGGGCCAAGCGAAGGTCCGGCGGCCATCTTAGTGAGTTGTTTTATACGATTTGTTTGTACTTTCCACATGGATACTCTGTACCTTTAATAAAGTACTACACTATTAGCCGATTTTTTCTGGCTCTTTTGTGAGCCAACTCCTCAGGATTTCTAATCACGGTTTGCATGCTGCTTGGTGTCATCATCCCTATCTGAGATCATCCTGGCCTTCATGGTCCTAGGATTGATGGGTGTGCTGCCTGACTTACCTGGAGAAGAAACCAGCTGTTCATGCGCATTACATATGCGCTTCTGGTGAGTGCATATAAAGGAATACTTTTCACTGATTATTATACAGGATTTATATAGCGCCAACAGTTTGCTCAGCGCTTTACAATATAACAGGAGACAATACAGTTCAATACAAGAGGGTTAGGAGGGCCCTGCTCCTTGGAGCTTACAATCTAGGAGGCAGGGGCTAGTGGTACAAAAGGTAGTAACTGTGGGGGATGGACTGGTTGGAAGAGTAGAAGATTCCAGTATTAGCTGAGGGCAGGATAGGCTTCCCTGAAGAGATAAGTTTTCAGAGATCGTCTAAAAGTGAGCAGAGTAGGCAATAGTCTGATAAATTGGGGTAGTGAGTTCCAGAGGATGGGGGCAGCTGATTCACCAGCACTGGATGTCACCTGTTCACGGATTTATTTTCTGGACTTTTTTAGAACTATTGTTTATCGCAATTTGATATATGTTCACGATCAGTCACTATTCATTTTATATCACCCAATGCTGACCACTCAGTGTCACGGATACCATCATCACACTTATCAGTATATTCATCATTGCTATATTAATAATTCATAAACTCTCACACTTTAGATCAGAGCGCCTCACTGTGTCTGCTTTTGAATATTGCCGCTATTCGTTCTATTGCTGCTTCTATTCACCTTATTTATTATTTATTTATGTACATGTTTTAGAAGTATTTCATTTGATTCATTCATTACTTTAGTGCTGCACCTTTCATATTTCATTTATCCTTTAACCAGACCTGGAAGTAGGCTGACCAGGATCTTCAGGTCAGTGTGCACTTTGGGACTACAAATGTGCAACATACCTTGCTTTCTAGAAATCAAAATATACAGCGCTTACATAAAGTGCACAATAAATTAAAGTGCAAAACAAAAAAAGTCCTATAAATATGAGACAAACCAACAACGTCCACATGGGATTATTATTATTATTACAGAATACTATTTATGAGAAACTACATGTACATTCTACCAATTAGTCCATCATCTATAAGGTGCAACTGTGCTTCCACAACTAAGTGAAATGATGTGAAACTTCTGGAAATTAAAGCGCTTCATGCAAAAATCCACCACTACCTGATTCTTGTGTTCCACTCCACATGCGAGTACCACCACCATTTAAAACCATTTTTGGGCAATACATGGTGGTCTCTACTCATGCACGCTGGATGGTTATGTGATCACTGTTTGCAGGGTATTTCACACTACTGGAGCCTCCTTCTCCCCTTTTAATATAGGATACCTCCTGTGGAGCTCATTATGTAGAGTATGGCGGATTGATCAACTGGCATGGGAGAGTCCATAACTACACACACAATCGCATATAGACCAACTCTTAATTGAGAAGGTCATGGCTGTCTGGCGAGTTCTCTGTGATGGTGGTGGTACTCGCATGTGGCGTGGAACACAAGAATCAGGACGTGGTGGATTTTTGCATGAAGTGTTTTAATTTACAGAAGTTTCACAAATGGTTAGCACTTCCGCCTGGCAGTACTAGGGTCGTTGGTTCAAATCCCAACCACGGCACCACCTGCCTGGAGTTTGTATGTTCTCCCTGTGACTGCGTGGGTTTCCTCCGGGTATTCCGGTTTCCTCCCACACTCCAAAAGACATGCTGGTAGGTTAATTGGCTCCTGTCTAAATTGGCCCTAGTATGTGTATGTATGAATGTGAGTTAGGGACCTTAGATTGTAGGCCCCTTGAGGGTTAGGGACCGATGTGAATGTATAATATATATGTAAAGTGCTGTGTAAATTGTCAGCACTATAGAAGTACCTGAAATAAATAATAATACATTTCACTTTGTTGTGGAAGCACAGTTGCATCTTATGGATGATGGACTAATTGGTAAAATATACATGTAGTTTCTCATACATACATTGCGGCATGTGGACATTTGTTGGTTTGTCTCATAATTATAGGAATTACATGTGAACTTGTTTTGTTTTGCACTTTAATTTATTGTGCACTTTTTATGTAAGCGATGTATATTTTGATTTATCTTTATTTTCCCTCTTCAGGGAAGCCTACCCCACCCTCACCTAACAGCCGTTCTCCTTCATTCCTCCTACCACTCCATCCCCACAGCCACTTCCTCCTGTACCACTACCCCCTCCCTCCTAGATTGTAAGCTCGAAAGAGTAGGGCCCTCTAACCCCTCGTGTGCTGTTTGTTGTTGCTGTGTTGTTTCATGTATTGTCCCCCCCTCTATTGTACAGCGCTGAGCAAACCCTTTGGCGCTATATAAACTCGATGTAATGTAATGTAGTGTAATTTTCGCACATTCTTGTGTATATCACAGCAGCTATTGTATAATAAGGGGGTTAATAGAGCGCAGGTGTTTTGGTTATATATACCTTGCTTTCTGCTTCATCTCCCGATACTCCTTCGCTGTCACTGTCTGTCACCCGCTCCTTACATTTCAAGTCTATTTCTGCACAGCCATAGCTGTCATCTGCTGGAGAGAAAACAAAGAGATCGTGAAATAAAAGAGAATGCAAGAAAATGATTAATACAATTACAAGCGATGTCATTGGTTCTGACCACTCACCAATAACATCATCGTCTCCTTCCTCTTCACAGATGACCATCCTCTCCTCGTCACTGGTCATGTCCTCGCTGGCTGTGCGTTGTGGCCGGTAAGATCCAGGAATAGGCGGACAAGCTCGGGAAGAGGGACATGCGGCGTTTTCGCTGTGTGAGGGCATTGGGAATGATGAAGGCTCTGGACCACCAAACGCTGCCTTCTGATTGGGATACGGAGAACGACTTGAACACATCTATGGAGTAATCACCATAGTCTTAACATGTCACCAATAATATGGATGAACTACCGATCAGCTTTAAAAAGGGCGACTCTTCTGACAAACACTAAATAAAGCCTTAGTGCAGCATGTACTTTGAACTGCCACTTAAAAAAAAAAAAAAAAGACAGTGAAAGCAGAAATGGGTTACATTTCATGCCACACCGCACCTTGTCTTTGATGAGGTTGATGAAGACCCTTCAGCATTGCAAACACTTCCAAGTGTCAGAGACTTGACACCTCACTATTGTGTCCTTAAGTGATGTAGGGGATGAAAAATGAAATCACAGTGGGGGACAATATCATCTGACACTCCTGGAAGTGTTGAATGCAGACGATTTTCAGCAAAATTTTCTTTTTATTAAAGATAGCAGAGTTTGGTGGCATAGGCAATAGAACAGGTAAGTACGGCTTACGGCTTTTCATTTTTATAATAGCAACAGATTTCCATTAACCACTTCCCGTCCGGCCCATGTTCATAAACGGCTGAACGAGAGCAGTGCAGGAGCAGGTTGCCGTTCATAAACGGCGCCCGCATTTTCAGCCCGTGCACGCTCCCCGGGAGTGCGCGGCACCGTGATCCGGTGCCCGCTGTGTCCTCCGGACACCGATCGCTGTACGGGACCTCTGTGTGAGGTCCCAATCAGTGATTGCATGAATAGTAGTAAGGAAGATGTCACTTCTGACATCATTGCTTACTACGTGTGAAATCTGTGAATGATCACAAAGGTCAAATGGTACAAGGCTATTCACATCAGCCTTGTACCATGTGACAAGCTGTGACCAATCACAGCTATCACTGTATTTCTCAATGGCTGCAAGAATGCAGATAGAGAGAAGGAGAAATGATTGCGGTGACACTGTACTGCTAGGGTGACAGTATGTTTAAAAAAAAAAAATAATAATATATATATATATATATATATATATATATATATATATATATATATATATATATAAATAAA